CAATCCCCCTTTCCCCCTCACCAATCCCCCTTCCCAATCCCCCCCCTTCCCAATCCCCCTTCCCCATTCCCCTTTTCAATCCCCCTTCCCCATCCCCATTCCCTTCCCCCCTTCCCAATCCCCTTCTTACTCATCCCCACTTCCCATTTCTCTTCGTCTCTCCCTCCTATCCACCACTCCCATTCTTTCCCTTTTCCCCTTCCTCCTCCTAAACCATCCCCATTTCCCCCCGTACCCATGGCCCCTACTACCCCCCTTATTTTCTCTCCCTCCCCCCACCCCCCCCCCCATTTCTACTATTTACTACAGAATAAAATAAATACTAAATCATTTCTATTGTGATAAATCTACGGGGATTTTCCGCCACATTTCAATACAAAACAGTTCATAGTCATCATTATATCGCCCATGTCTATTTTTTTTTTTTTTTCTTAAGAAATGTGAATATCAAACGACAATTATTAGTTTAAGAAGAGACCCAAGGAGAAGGGAAAATGGTGTGGGTATAAAGCGCTTATGTAAGGAGATTAGCTGATGAAAAATTTTATGTGCTAATAAGTGACTTTTCTGGAAATGTGCATCTGGGCGAGAGGGGAACGGTGAACGTGTGGTTGCGTGTGTGTGTGTGTGGGGTGTGTGGGTGTGTGTATGTGTGTGGGGGTGGGTGGGTGCGTAGGGTGTGGGATGTTGGTGGTGTGGAGTGTGTGTGTGTTGTGTGGGTGTGGCAGTGCGGTGTGGGTGGTGTGGTGTGTGTGTGTGTGGGTGTGTTGTGGTGTGTGTGTGTGGGTGGGTGGTGTGTGTGTGTGTTGTTGGTGTTGTGTGTGGTGTGTGGATGGTGTGGTGTGGTGTGTGTGTGGTGTATGTGTGTGGGTGGGTGTGCGGTGTGTGTGTGTGTGGGTGAGTGTGTGGGTATGTGTGTGTGTGTGTGGGGTGTGCGTGGTATGTGGTATGTGGGTGTGTGATGGTTGGGTGGGTGTGGGTGTGTGGTGTGTGTGTGTGTGTGTGGGTTGTGTGGGTGTGAGGGTGGGTGTGGTGGTGTGGTGGTGGGTGTTGTGTGGTGGGTTTTTTGGGGGTGGGTGGGCCTGAATGGTTTGTGTGTTCTGTGTATCTGTGAAGGAATGGGTGGGTGGATAAGGTGGTTGGTGTGGATAGTTTATGTATGTGTGTGTGGTTATGTGCGTGTGTAGGTCTGTGTGTGATTGTATATACGTGTGTAGGTCTGTGTATGTGAATTATTACCATTGTTATTGTTGTTGTATATGCTGTATGGTGTATGTGTGTGCATGCGTGTAGCTGTGTCTCTGTATATGTGTCATCATGCGTATGTCCATGACGTGTCAGTCAGCCTGTGTCCCTGTGTATTCATCGGGAGTGTCATGGGATGTGAGTGTGTTAATCAGAATAATAAAATGTGCTATTTTTAGACACTTGATTTCGCCCTCTTTTGTGGGTAGTATTTTCGCCACATGAATATGCGATGAATTATTTTTCTTTAATTATTCTCTCCTCGGCATTTCCTGGTGTTTTGATAATGAGGAGTAGGAAGAGGAGGAACATTATTTCCATCTAGAAAATTTCACTTTTATCACGAAAAAAAAGTAATACATCATATTTTTTTTTATTTTTTTTTTTTTTATATTCCGATAGAAAATAATAACATTAATATAACACTGGTAAAAATAGGAATTAAATAGCGTGCCACTTGAATATCCCTTCCTGTCACATTTCTCTTGATTTCCACCAGAATTAGAAACGAGTGAACAGCAATGCATAAGATGACGTCACTTGGTTGATTTAATCCCATTTTTGATAAGGTGGAAATGTGGATATTTTCCCCATAATCCCCTTCCCCCGTTAATCCCGTTCAGGTGTGTGTGTGTGTGTGTCTGTGTCTGTTGTCTATCTTTATCCGTGTCTGTCAGCCTTTATCTTTCTGTGTTTCGGTCTCTCTCTGTCTCTGTCTCTCTCTATCTATCTCTATCTATCTCTCACGCTCTCTCTCTCTCTCTCTCTCTCTCTCTCTCTCTCTCTCTCTCTCTCTCTCTCTCTCTCTCTCTCTCTCTCTCTCTCTCTCTCTCTCTCTTTCTCTTTCTTTCTCTCCTTCTCTCTCTCCCTCTCTCTCTACTTCTTCACCCCTCTCTTTGCACCCCCCTCCCTCTCCACTCCCACCCTCCCTCTACTCCCACCCTCCCCTCCACTCCCACCCTCCCTTTCTCCCCTCCCCTCCCCCCACCCTCCCTCTACTCCCCCCCTTTCTCCCCCCTCCTCTCTTACTCCCACCCCCCTCCCTACCCCCCCCACCCTCCCTCTACTCCCACCCTTCCCTTTCTCCCTTTCTCTCCCCCCTCCTCCTACTCCACTCCCACCCTCCCCTCCCCTCCCCCCTCCCCTTCCCCACCCCAACCCAAACCCACTGTGGTATGCATGACACAGGTCCCTCGTAACGACCATCTATAATACCCCAGTTAGACAGTGATTACGGGGGTCGTTGTTGCGGGATGCTGTTAATGATGATTGTGTTTGTGGACTTGTTAATGCGAGTGGTTGATGGCGGGCTGGGGGAGGGGAGGGGGGAGGGGATGGGGCTGAGGCAGGGGAGGGTGGGGGGAGAGGGTGGTTGCGGGGAGGGGAGAGGTGGTGGGGTGGCGGTGAGGGGAGGGAGGGGATGAAGGGGGAAGAAGAATGGACGTGGGGGGGAGGAGAGGGGTGATGGGGAAGGAAGAATGGACGTGGGGTGGGGGTGAGGGAGGGGATGTGGGGTTGAGGAGGGAGGAAAGGCGGATGGTGAGGTGGGAGAGAAGGATGGACGGGGGGGAAGGGGGGAGGGGATGAAGGGTCGGAGTGGGGGGAGGGGAAGAATGGACGGAGGGGGGAAGGGGGAGGAGGGAATGGGGGAAGAAGAATTTACGTGGGGAAGGGGGGAGGGAATGAAGGGGTCGGTCGGGGGGGAGGGAGGGGAGGGGTAATTGAGAGCTGGGTTAATGGGAGGGGGAGGTGGTGAATAGGGGGGAGGGAGTTGTTACTGTTTCGGAGGGGGGATTTTAGGGGGTAGGGTAAGGAGTGGAGTCAAGGAGAAGGGGAGTGAATAGATAAGGATAAAAAGGAAACAAGAAGAAGGTGGATAATGTGAACTTGCGGAGCGGAAGATAATAAATGAGTGAATGGAAGATGAAGCGAAGACGCAGGGGGCAGCGAATGAAAGGCGAAAATGAAAGAGAAGAGAGAGGAAGGAAGAAAAAAGCAAAAAAAGATAAGGGGTTATGAAAGTTAAGGGAAAAGGGGAAAAGGGGGAGGGGAGGAATTTAAGGGGAATATTGGGGACATTAAAGGGGTAGGGGAGAGGTGAAGAGGTTGGAGGGGAGGAGGGAGGGAGGGAGGGAGGAAGGAGGGAGGAAGGAAGGATGGAGGGAGGAGCGAAGGAGGAAGAGGGAAGGAGGTAGAGAGGAGAGGAGGGAGAGGAGAGAGGAAGAGAGGAAGAGGGAGGGAGGAGGGGAAGGAGGGAAGGACGGAGGAAGGAGGAGGAGGGAGGGAAGAGAGAGGGAGGAGGAGGAAGGAGGTAGAGAGGGAGGGAGAGGGATGGAGGGAGGGAGGGAGAGGAGAGAGGAGGGAGGGAGGGAAGGCAGGGAAGGAAGAGGAGGGAAGGAGGGAGGGGAGGAAAGGAGGAAGGAGGGAGGGAGGAGGGAGGGAGGAAGGAGGGAGGGAGGAGGATGGCAGAGAGGATTAAGGAGGGAGGGAGGGAGGAAGGAGGGAAGGAGGTAGAGAGAGAGGGAGGGAGGAGGAAGGAGAGAGGAAGGAGGAAGGAGGAAAGGAGGGAGGAGGGGGGAGGGCGGAAGGAAAGGAAGCGGAAAGGAGGGGAGGAGGAGGAGGGATTAAGGAGGAGGGAGGCGGCAGCTGTAGAGGAGCATGACGATGCGGAGAATTTAGTTTAATTCTTTATTTTATCACGGATCTTTATGTCGTTACAGAAGGGAATTTATTTTTAATTTTAGACTATCATGGTGCTATTTTTCTCTTTCTAACTACATATGTAAGTCTGTCTGTCTGTGTATCTTTCTGT